CGCCCTTACTTCAGTCAGTGTGTTACATTTTCCAAAAATGATCTAATAAGTAAGTTTGGCTCATCTGAACCATGCTTATAATCTNATTTACAAAGTTCACAGAAAAGAGACTGCAATGAAACATCCACAAATTACAAACAGATGCATTTTCTTTTTCCTCCAGGTCTTCATTCTTACTTACAAAGGTCAAGTTTCAATGAAGAAAGTTCAATAAACAGAAACTGCAATGAAACATCTACAAATAAAAAGGTTTTTTCTCATGTTTTCCTATATTTTCATTTAATGCCTATTTACTAAGGCCACAGTATGGAAACAACAATGAAACTTTTATGGCAAAAAAAAAGGGTTGCTGTTTCAAATTGTTATCCATGTATTCATCATAAATGTAAATCTCCAAAAGTCACAGAAAAACACGTTCTCATCCATGTCACCATTGATGCCTGCATAGCTGTCATGAGTTGAATTCCGGTAACCCAACCTTCACTGGGATTTGAGCAAACGAAAGAAACTGAGCAGTAACCCATTGCATCAGCCTGAGTCTCACCATTGTAATGGATATTTCAGCCAGAGGAGAATATATACGAGGGTGAGTCAATAAGAAAAGACAATAATTATTTGTAACAAATTGTGCATCTGTGCTGGTACAATGGTTGTTCAGTGGTGAAGGGTGGTACCTCCTACATATGCAGTTACAGAATTAGCCACCAGAAGGGCCATTGTCCTGTAAAAAAGAAAAAAAAGAAGGTGACTCCACAAGTGACACGTACAGTTGTGGAACAACGTGAACAGTGTACAATTAACCAGTCATCCATGGTCAGAAGGTGTGAGGACCGCCAACATCTTTTGCAGGATGGTTAGTATGGAAGTAACTGCATGAACCTTCGAAATGTGTATAAGTGGGTGGAACGGCTGGAAAATGGGCAACATGTGTGATCTGAATCGCCCAGGACAACCAAAAACTGTGAACAGACCAACCGTGGTTGCAGGCATAAATGAGATTGTGTTGGCTGATCACAGGACAACACTCAACAAAATTGCACATGCTGCGGGTGTTTGCCATGCAACAGTACACACCATTGTGCACAATGAACTCAACTTCTCAAAAGTTAGTGCAAGGCTGGAAACAATCAGCAACCTTGGTTGGGAGGTTCTGCTACATCCAACTTACAATCCTGACTTCGCACCATCAAATTATCATCTATTAAGTCCTTTAAAAGGTGCATTATTAGGCCTAAAGTTTGCTGATGACGACACTAGTGAACGCTGTTCGAGTCTGGCTGCGACACCAGTCCAAATAATTATTTGCTGTGGGTGTTAGGAAGCCTATGGCAAGATGGGCCAAATGTATCAGTGTGCAGGGGGATTATGTGGAAAAATAACCTCTAGTTTGTACTTGAAAGGTTCCATTACATTTATGAAATTCACCTTTGTGTCTTTACTTGTTGACTCACCCTTGTATATAGAGCTGCTATACTGCCCCATTTTGCCCCCTCACCATCACCCCATTTTGCACCTTCAGCACCGTCTATAATTAAGACACTGCCAAGCAAAAGGTGAGAGACCTATGCAAAAAATTATGACTTCATGTAATAGTTCACATCTTCACCTTCAGCAGGAAAAAATATCAGATGCCTCCAATGTTTCCCATGGTACTTTGCTTCGCTCATGAAAAACTCAAAACAAAATAAGAAAAGTCTGTTTCCTTATTTTGCTCCTTGTGTGTTTACAAACTTCTTGAGAGAGTGTCACTGTGCCTGAAAACTTATACCAGTTATGGGCAGTTATAATAGGGTAAATAGGCAATAGATATCAGGCATGGTTTGGTTAAAATCTACATTGCCCCGTTTTGCCCCTCGCCCCATTTTGCCCTTCCTTCCCCTACATATCAATTTCCATACCAACCAGGGAGGAGATTTTTTATTTATTGTCAAAAAGTAAGTACATCCAAACAGGGCACCACTACTTGGGGCAACTTTCCTTTTATGAAAGGATGTTGGTATAAAATGGTTACTAGCCATCCTGTTGACCATTACTGATATCCTGGCATGATTCTGGGACAAAGACTAGTTTTAATTCTGGTACCCTGACCATTGCTTTCACAGTAAAAATAATTCCAAAATTATTTAATACCTTGACCAAAAGATACCTTTTAGAGTGTGTTTTATGCTCACCAGAACCTGATCCCACTGTTGTGTCAATGAGAGATTCAAGTGATTCTGCAGGAAATCCCATCACAGGTTGAATCCTTGAAACTGCATTCTCCCTTTTCTTCTTCTTCTTCCAAATGAGAATCAAGGCAATCACAGCTGACAAAACCACAAGCCCACATGATACTGGCAAGCCAATTGTGACCTCTTCTGTATCCCATGAAAATAAACAGCAAAGTGGAAAAAAATCAGTTAGATACCAAATAAAAGATTGATACAATATGTACAATATGAACAGAGATTCTATTGAAGAAATCGCCCTTACTTCAGTCAGAGTGTTACATTTTCCAAAAATAATCTAATAAGTATGTTTGGCTCATCTGAACCATGCTTATAATCTGTCAGGCAAGGAAAAGTATCTTTGAGGCACTTTTGGCCATGCTGTAAAGTAGGGTAACAAGATTTTTTCTGGCAAATACTGGGATACGAGGGGCATTTCATAAGTTCCTGTCACCCCCCCTGGAAAACTGCAAAATGCAATTAAACATAAAAGGTTGTTCACTGTCCTTCAAAGTAATCTATGTTGGCCTCAATGACACACTCCCAGCGTTCTGGAAGCCTTTGGATACCATCAGCTGAGCTGGATGTAACCAGGTGCTATAGGATGCAGATGAATGTCTTGAATAGTTTATCCATGTCCTCAAAATAATTGCCATGCAGCTGATTTTTAAATTTAGGGAAAATGTCAAAGTTGCAGGGACTCATGTCAGGAGAGTATACAGGATGAGGCAACACCTCCCAGTCATAGTGCTGCAGGAACTCCTGAACAATATCTCACTGGCATGTGGGCTTGCATTATCATGCAACAACAGGGGTCCCTGCTGGAAGAGCTCAGGTTGCTTTTTCATGAGTGCTGGCTGAAGGTGTCATACAAGGCAACCAGAAATTATTTTGAAGAACTATGAATAACTTTTTTTTAAATCTAATTTTCAGTTTTCCGGGGGTGGCAGGAACTTATGAAATGCTCCCATATATTCAGTAAATTGGCATCTAAGAGTCACCTAGAAGGGTGAGAAGCTGAGCAACAAGAGGGCATCTAAGAATGTCTTCCTCTGCCACTTCCAATTTATATTTGGTGAAGGGTTGGGGGTTGTGGTGATTAAAGAGGGAGGAACTGGGAATGGCAGCTAGGATATTGCATCTTCAAACTCAAGTTTCTTGAAAACCAGAAATATCTGGTCACCCCACTGTTAAAAAGAGAAATGTCATGTGAAAATCTGCAAATTAATACAGGGTGTATTTTTTATTAGCACAACCCACAAAAAGTAGTATAACTTCCTAAGTAATAATGCTAACAAGTTGAAATTTGGCATGAACATAGAGGACTAACCATGCATAACTTACCTTTATTACAGTAGATTCTGGTACTGATCCCCTTGTTTTCTATGCACAATTGAACACAATGCTTCAAGCTTAAAAAAAAAGGCATAATACATCAACAGGAATTTTGCAAATGTCATTTTTAATGTTTTGCTTAAGCTGTGGAATGGTGTGAGTGTTGTTTCAGTTAACAATGACCCCAAAAGAAAGTAATCAGGTGGTATGAAATCAGATCTTGGTGGCTATAGGTCTTTCAACACGATTCTGTCTTCAAAGAACAACTGAAAGTGCTCCATGCTCCTCTCTGAGGTAAGGCAGCTGATGCTGTCTTACTAGAAGTAACCATTAGTGAGTTTAATGTATTCAAACTGAATGATGAATTCATCATAAATGGAATAATCAAATCTTTAATAATGGGGCTACTTGAAGGAAACTGTTTACTGCAACAATCTTCACACCATTCTGCAGTTAAGGGGGAACATTATAAGCAGCATTAGTTACATTCCTGTTGATGCTCTATGCCATAATTTTTAAAAGTTGCAGTGTCAAGTTCAATTGTGCATAGAGATCAACAGGGATCAATTCCAGTATCTTCTGCTATAAAGTGAGTCTAGAAGGGTTAGATCTATGTTCATACCAAATTTCAACTTGATAGCTTCATTATGTAGGAAGTTAAACCATTTTTTTTAGGTTGTGCTAATAAAAAAATACACTGAACANATCTTCTGCTATAAAGTGAGTCTAGAAGGGTTAGATCTATGTTCATACCAAATTTCAACTTGATAGCTTCATTATGTAGGAAGTTAAACCATTTTTTTTAGGTTGTGCTAATAAAAAAATACACTGAACAACAATCTTCAGTTTGGCCATAGATATAGTCTTCTCAGCCATTCTAGGCAATACCCAAACATGTATGGAAATGAGGAAAAATGGATCTGTTAGCATATGAAAGATGACAACAGTTATTCAACATTTTGGAGATTTCAGGAATCAAATTTTTTAAATTATTTGTGACATTGATTTGAGCTCAATGTGGTAAAAGGCAAATGAGACACAATTATGCATTATGAGTTCAGGCCTCTTAGTTTGTCAAAACCTTCATTCTTGATACAAGAGCAGCAAGAGGCCTCAAGTCAGAATGGGTGATTATTAAAAAAATTCAGGACCAATGTGAGCTAAAAGCCATAAATACTTCAAGTGAAAAATGTCAGTACGGTATGATCTCATTGGAGGATGTGGTGACAAATTCACAAATGAGGATTATTTAGTGCTTAAGTTACATGCTACATTGTGCTACATTACTACTACTAGTGATACTAGTGCTACACTGTCTTGCATTGAAAAATGCTTCAGAATTAAATTTATAACATGTTTTGTAGCATATGACTAGTATAATGAATAAATGAATACAAATTCATTGCTAAAATTTCTCCAGGACTATGGCAAATAATAGCAATGTAAAATGTTCTCCACCATTTCCAGTTGCAATCTTCATGTATGATGGCAGGTGCTTGTTGCAGAAGTCCTGAGTCTTACAGCAGTATACACGGGTATCAGCACCTGCCTCTCCAGTCTCACAGCGAGTATCATGAACATTTTGAAGCCAGGGGTCACCTTTAGAATCAGCACAGCTGTTAACCAGATGGAAATCAACCATCACTGCATGAACCAGACAGACATAAGCATAAAATGGCTGTAAGTTAAGTTCTTTACAAAGCAGACAATCAAAGGATCTACAACAGGAATGATGATAACTTTTCAGAATGTCCCCTACTCTGGATCTTTTCCTCTGCCAATAATTAAAAAAATTCACTAGATAAGTGACAAGTGCTAAATAGAATAAATATCTGATTGATTCTGCACAACAACAACAAAAAAGGATTCTGGGTACTTGGATCATTGTATTCTTTCCTGTCTATCTGTTCCTTTGTCTTGCACTTTTGCACTACACAAGCAAATAAAAACTGACATGGCTCATGCTATTCTCTTCTTCAAGATAGAGAACTAGGGATGGTCCCTGCATAAACCAATAACTTCCTTTCACTACAATGACTGATAGTCTGAAGTCCTTGGGAGAATCTTACACAGCCATATAAGAAGTCATTATCCCATTATCAGTTATTCCACTAGCAATTTACTTTACTGGCCCTCCATCAATTATAATCATGCAAAAAATGTATGCAACATGCAAAAATCACTTTATCAAATTTCTGGGAGGCATTATATGATATGGTAAGTCCATTTGTATTAATAGTCGCAATGATGCACCCCTAGTGCAGTGCCCAGTTCTTCCATGGTTCTTTATTGCATGTCACATAAAGTCTGCCTAATTTTTAGAAGCAGACATAAGTCACATTTTGACTCATATCCTTAGAATATGAAGGGAGTTCCAATGTTTCCCCCCCCCCCCCTCCTTGTAAATGATCACCTTCACATATCTGGCAGCATGAAATTGGACATTGTTACCAAGTTGAGAACTTTTAACAGAAAATTGCTTCATAGACATGACCCTCTTGCAAAATGACTGTAAAAATTGGATTGTTCAGGAAAATAAAAACTAGTAACTTGATACCATTTCAGAGATTCTATGACTCATAATATAATTTCTCATAATGAAGGCTTCTAGACATGACACTTCGATAAGTGCAGCAGCAGCAGTGCCATGCAGTTAGGCATTCTCGCTTCTAGATCATCAATCAATCTAGGAAACTATTGCATCATAGCGAAATGTCACAGGTACCTCCACAACCTATCTTTAGTCCACCATTCATGAACATTGTAGAGTGCAGTAGAGGCCTATTCTTGCTCCAAAAATACAACTGCATTAGACATGACATTCAATTTCCATAATGAAATCAGTGAGCATAGCTTCACACTTAGTGCCTTTAATCAGCTGGCTGCTGCTGGACCTTCTTGTGACTCCTTCCTTGTCAGGGGCATGATATCTTCCTCAGATAAGGGATTAATACCAGAGATCAAACATATACATGAATAAATTGGTTGCAACTTGAGCAGACACCTTCCTGCATATCCATGTCTACAGTTAACAGTGCAATGATCTAAAGTGTTGACTCAGGCATGGCTCTTCTCACAATTTTTTAAGAAAGATAATTTATGCATGTATTTCAGTAACCAAACTTGCCACTTAATGAGAACCATTCTTCTATAGCCTTATCCATACCCTTCATATAGGTCACTATTGTGATGAATGAATTTCCAGACAAGTCTAGTCAACTTGCATTGAAGACAATCATGAAGGAAATTATCAAGTAATCTGCAGAAGTTCTAGGTAATTCAGGCTAGGCTCTCATTGGATATGACACACTGATACAGTCAATTTGATGAAAAGAAAACCTTATGTATCTTGTCATGCCAAGCAAGACATGCTAAACAGCTTAGATACTTCTGAGATGCTTCAGTAATTACATAGTGAAACTATCAGATGGAGACAAATAATAATTTGAGACCTCCATTATGTAACAGTTAGAAAATTAAAAATTGGGAAGCTGAAAATCATTCAGGTTAAAAGTGGCATATGAAATCATTAAATGTTCAAGAGCATGAGTGTATATTTATTTTATATTTCTTTTGCTGGTAAGCATATAGCCCAAAACTTTTTTGCAGAATCTAGTAGGGTTATCTCTGCCTACCAAGTGCTTTCAAGGCAAAATCTCTACTTATGCACTACAAGGAGAGTCAAAGACTACATCAATACAGAGACCACACATGCAGTCATCCCAAGCACACCATTCCAAACAAAAAAACTGAGCAGTGGAGAGATAACAAACAAGGTGATTCCTTCCATCTTTCCTTGATCACTGTATTGAAACTCCTACATGAATCATCATGTATTATATTCTAAATCAAGGGGAACTAAGCGTCCTTCCAGCCAGACAGAAATCCTGATCAGTGCATGGAATTTTGAGCAATGAACAAGGAAAGTAAGGGCAATATCCACTAAAGCTCAAGGAAAGCATTCAGCTTTTCTTTGGAATGGTGTAATATAAATTACAGGAGCACTTAAGACTTTTAGTTGACCATCCAGCAAGATTTTTAACTTTTCAAGTCATTCTCTACCAAGTGTCTCTGTCATAATGTTGAAGATGGCCAACCCATAAATTCAATGAAAGTTCCATAAGCAGACTATCAGCTGAGCTCAAAAAGCATACATAATATGGTATTTCATAACTACACGTGCATATTTTTAAACTTCAACTTTCAGGTACCCCTGTAAATGTCACAATGTCTTTTTTTATGGCATCACAGATTCATGCATTGAAAAGAGAGAGATCTCATGTGCCATGCATCAAACAAAGCATCCAATTAAATCTCTTTTATTAGTAAGCTTAACCCAAAAGGCAAAACTCACCTTCAATGTAAAGTCCGAAGTCCAAACATGTCTTCAGAAGAAGCCCTTGATGTGAGCTCCCTGAAGGTGGTCACGAAGAGAAAATCCCAAGATGAGAGAATACATGAGGCATGCCATGTACATAACCCACTGTTGACATCATCTGCAACACGCATTTCCCACTCAGGAAAGACGATAGACAGTCATGATATTGACTCACAAAGCATGCTCACATCACGCCCTTGGTTAGAACGAAATGTTTTGTTCTGTATCCTCACAAGAGCTATTGGCCACAATTCTTCTCATCCCTCTAGGGCTAATGCTAGGTCTAGGCCTAAACCTAACATTATGCAAATCAGTGATAGGTGGTGACTAGCTGTAGCACTAAATTCGTACAACATGGATAAATTGATTCACTTTCAAAAATAAAATTTAAGTGGCTAAAGTTGAAATATTTCATGTAAGAGTAGTTTTGATAAATACCTAACCCATATTTGAGATAGTTCAACTACTTAGCTACAATGTTTTCAAATTGGATTCATAACCCCTGATAGGTGCACTTCCATCAATTCCAGGTAGTGACATCTTCCACGAAGCTGGTTGTCTATCACTGTACGTATGTAGCAAAGCTTCTGGATGTTGCATTTTCCCTACTATCCACTATAGGGGGATATTAATTCAATCAGAAAAAAAGGGTAATCAACTAGGCCACTCATACAAAAGCAGATTTAAAGCTCCAGAAAATATTTACATTCATGTATCACAGCAAGCTTACTTAACCTGTATAACTTAACTTAATGTATCACTGTAAGCTTACTTATTTAAACATACCTGGATAACAATCCAGACACCAATCAGATCAACATAGCTTGGAAATTAGACAGACTTCTCGGAAATATCATGGGTACAGGTAAACTTATCAATCACCTGGCAATCTATGGTATTTCTAATGCCACAAGCTAAAAAAAAGATAGCCTAAATTTTTTGTAAACCATATTTAGGTGGCCTTCACAAGTGATATGGGTGGAGTATGATAGCAACTAAGGTAGAATAATATGCATGTGGTTGTCAAACTGGGCAATACATTCTTAGCTCATGTTGAAATCTAAAGCAGGAAGCTAAGAGTCAGAAAACTGTCTTTTCTGCCAGATTCCAGGAGAGCTTCCATTTGACAGAATCTGATCTTAAGAAGAAAAACAGGTTTTGTTTTTAAAGAAAGTTCAACAGCAATGCTACAAAATGCAATTAGGGCAAAGCAAGCATTAAATAGAGTCTGCAGGATCTGTATTCCATTCCTGAAAATCAAAAACTTGAAAGCCATAGCAAGCTGAAGGATACCTATCCCTGGAAATTAAGAGCTTAAAAACAACCAAGTACTGATAATTGTGCTCAATAAAATAAGACAGACTGACTGAACTTTGGCTTTTGTAGACTCACTGAAGATAAATTCTCATGGAAGACAACCTAAGGCATAGGTTAGGGGTGGCCAAGCTGCAGCTTGCAAGCCACATGCAGCTCCTGAGCAATTCAAGTATGGCTCACAGTGAAAAGCTGGGGGAATAATATATAAAATTGGAGTGCTTGCACTAAAGAATGCATGTGTGTCTTGTGGCTCTCAGGAATATGAAGATCTTGTTATGCAGTTCCCAAGGTCAGAATGTTTGGCCAGCTGACATAAGTTCTTAAAAATTTCAAGTAATTGCTGCTTCCCCCCATCCCATACTATGGTTATGGCCTCATGACCACCTGGGGGTTGCAACCCACAGTTTCAGAAACACAGAGAGAATGATAGGAACATATGAATCCATAACTACAACATTCAAAGTGGTGAAGTCTTCATTCTGGGAAGCAGTTAGCAAGGGATGCTCACAGTGGAGCTTAATCTCAGGGATATGAGAGATGTAGAATATTGTACTGATGGACACATAAGCACACAAGATAAGCAAATAGGATAAATTTTTCTCTTCTCTGGTGCTAAGATTTTATAGCAAGGAGTTGAATTCTTCAAATAGTCTATTCATCTATAACCAAGGCAGAACTACAGGGTTTTCCCAGAAACCTCTCTACATTTTTATTAGAGTAGAACACAAATGGTAAGGAAACAACATTGAACAATAATATACAGTATTGAAGGTTCCCTTCTTCACTAAAACCTGTACCACAAAAATGTGTTTTGGCATCAATATTTCAATATGGCATCCATTTGGAGTACTCCCTTCCACATTGGAGTACATCTGACATCAGGAGGGAAAAGTATCCATTGCTTTTCTCACCATAGCCAAATAAATATTAGCTTTTCTTATCGTAGCCAGAGGAATATTAACAATTCAGTTGCGTATGGCTGCAATGATGCCTGGGACATTGTGGGGTTTGGTGACAAAACCATCTCCTTTCAAAACCCCCATAGCCAAAAATCATAAATTGTCAAATCAGGCAACCTTGCTGGCCACTCACAGAGTCCTCTGCAACCAATCCACTATCCAGGTAAGTGTTCATTCAGAATGGTGTGAGCATTGCAGGAGTAATGTGGTGGGGCACCATCCTGCAAGAAAAGATGTTGCTGATATTGTGGAGAAGCCATGATAGTTATCATAAGCTTCTGAAGCTCCACTGCAGTAAGGGGTCACTTCAAAAGGATGCCACATTGAAATGTCAATGCCCACACAGATATCTATGGTATATCTTTTAGTTAAGGAAGAATCCTTTAATACAATATATTATTCTTCAGTGTTGTTTCTATACCTTTGGAATTTTATTCAATTAGACGTATGGAGGTGTTTCTGGGGCACCCTGTACTTGGACTTTAAAAAACTGACTTATAAAGATGATGAAGGGAACTGGTGCACATTAGAACTCTCAAATTTTGCAAATTCCAAAGAAATTGCTTCAATAAAAGCAAAAGAAGAAGAGAAGATGAAGACTCCACCATAAATGAAATACATTACCTTCACTTGTAACAGAGTAGAAGTTATTGAGCATCATCCAATACCTACACCCTTCAGTTATGTGAGGTTGTTTTCCAAGAGAAGACATATTCAAACTTGATGAGCACCTGTGCTCTCGGTGATCCAATCTCTCGATATATTTTTTTTGTATATCCAAAATTGTTGTCAATCATCAGAGAGCATAAACAAGCTATGTTCTGATCAAAAGTATCTCAAAACAGTTGGTTGCACTACCAGAATTTACAACAATAATTGGGAAATAAACAAGAAAAGAAAAGAAAGAACATTTGAAAGCCACATGTAATTTTAGAAAGAAAAACCTCTTCTAGGTAGCAAAAGCAGATTCTCATTATTAGTAAATAGAAAGGAATAGTACAACTTCTGGCTTTCAATGCTAGAGAAATGAAAAACTTTGTTTTGTAGCCTGTTCTTTTGCATTGAAACATGTCATCATTGACTGTAGTAAAGTAAGCCTTAACCCTTCTAGCGAGTTTTCTATGGTAAGCTCTAGGTGCAGTAGTTAATTTTTTTTTGCATGGTGGGCATATTCTCCAAAGGCTTTAATTAAGTTATTTAAAAATTGAAGAAACTAATCAAGATCATCAATTAATCATTCAAGAAACTTTTCACAAATATTAAGGAGCATTCCTGTACTGTTGTATTCCCATGAGCACAGATGGTGTGGCCAAACAAGTACAGCCCTACCATCTGAAGGTTTAAATACTAGTACTATACACCATGTCTTCCAGAAGGAAGATGGGCTTAAGCTTATAGTAAAAAAAAAAAAATCTACAATTAATGCAATTTCAATACTAGCCCTATTGCAAGCAAAAGAGAAAAGCTCATGAGGAAATTTATTGCCATAAATTCCAATACATAGCTTGATCTTTGAACTATTTTTAGCCAATTGTTTTTCCTTCAAAATGAAATAAGTAGCATATACAAACAACCAATCTCTCACAATTTTCTCTAACATAATCCTAGCATCACTAATCCTTCAGTCCAATAACTACATCTAATGCAAATCTATGCTGTAGCACATCCTTCATGAAGGGATATGAAGAATTATTGCAGATGGGATATTGCAAAATAAATTTTTTCAAAGCTTCAGTGAAATCCTGAGTGGTTGGTATTATCTGAATGCATATCTTCAGCAATGTTGTACATGGTACCTTCCCTAGGTATAGGATGGCAATATTCTGAGTATTTCATTCTCATCTATGAATCACTTCATGATCCAAGCTATGGTGAGTTCTTTTTCCAGTTATTTACTATAGGTGATATTGTAAGGAACATAAATACTGCAGTCTTAACATAGGTTTAGGTTTGAGTCTACTGATACATTGTCTGACCCAATCTGGCTAGGGAAAACAGGACTAGCTTAATTAAACCAACCTAGGCCCAGTCCTACCTGTATCCTGTGTGCACCTTATCCTCCGAAAATGATGATGTTGCCATGCAAAATCCACTTGTCTGACAAGTGAGGTTGTTGTCTTCACATGAGTCACAGTGGCACTTCAGGGCTGCATGAAAGAGAGGAGACTGGAAGTTACTTGGTCTAACATTATGGCGAAGTTTTCTGGAAATCATAAAACCAATGTAATCGATTTCAAGAACCATGAGGAAAACAGCATTAGCTCAACATTCGCATACGTTTAACGTCTGGACTAGCTAAGCAATTCAGTATCTAACCTACCTGAGGACAAGGCGAGAACACTCATCGCTTCAGTAAGGAAAAAGAAACCCGATTTCCGTCTCATGACTTTCGAGCGGCAGTCAAATATTTATTATATAAAATTTTCACGTGTGGTGGGATCTGCGTTCATAGGTTCGTAGGTATATATATAAGTGAAACCATGATTAGGCTGCAGCCGAGGATGAACGGTGACTGTGGCAAAACATGAAGAGGAGCACGTGGTTCTCGAATTAGTGTTCTCCGCGGGCCAGCGGGCTAATGTTTTGGAACACCCGATCTGCCCGCATCCGCCCGATTCCCAACCATACATGACCGCCTTATCGGACCCGACTCGAATATCGTCCTTCCTTTGAAGAAAGGGTGAAAAAGAATATCCCTTTTGTTTTATGCCTCATATAGCTTCAATCGACGTCAAACTTTCCCAGGCGTCTGTTGCTCCTATTGCTGTTTTCACGCATTATTACATGCCAGACAAAGAAAGTGATTTGGAACACGGTACTTGCCGTTCGGTGCAACAAGAAATCCACACCTCTACCACCCTAGGCGACGATTTTTCTAGAACAATTAGGGGTTGGAGGGGGGGGGGGGCGCCTCTGAGACAGTAATTCTTGCCAAGTATTCACTAATGCTCCTATTGCATGTAGAGGATTGACTCTAAGAGCCAAATTGATTTCATCCCATCGTTATCATCAATGCATGGAGCTTCGTGAGTGCCTCGCAATGACTATCAGCCTTCTCATGAGCAGGAAAACCTTTCCAGTGCCTATTTCCAATAACTGCATGCATCACTTAAAATGCACTATTCTTCCAGTAAGGAAGTATTTCTCAGTTACTTGCCTGCAAATTGAATAGGGCTCCTTTGCAATGAAACTTTCGAATGATACCCAAGGTTAGTTTCCCACCACCTCAGTTGGAACTTCCTCGCTCCGTATCGACCGATGTTTGAAGCAAACATATCTTTGAAGTCATCCCTCACAGACTTTTTCCCTCTTTAACTAGAGAGCATTTCTAGAACTGGAGGAGTCTTTCCGTTCACCATTGCTATTCAGACCCATACTTTTTTTTCGCAAAAAACAAGCATATCCATTACCCTACAGTTCCCATCAATGACATGACTTCGTCACTCAAGAATGGTCTGAGAATTGGAGATAGGGCCTACACGTCCGTCATGACTTCCCACATTGAGGCTAGGACGGTTGGATCAATCACGCACAGTTGATTCCCATTGCAATTGCTAATAGGTGCTTATGTCGGTGCAAAACAGATAAAAACGTAATGCAATGTGCTAAATACGAGCTAAATCACCAAGTCTAGAACTTGCTTCAAGCCCTACTTTCACGTCGTAAACTGTCAGATGGAAGATGAACTGTGTTCCATGGCTAAGATATTGTACGCGCAAACAAACAATTTTCCAAAGTGTTATGAAGGCTGAGCCCCTGCTTATGTCCACCACGCCTGCCGTGTCAGTGTGACACTGGTAAATGCGGAATGCCATCGAATTCCTTGTTTGATGTTAGTATGAAGAGATTTCCGTTTACTTCATGGGGTGTTACGGAAATCTCCACCAGCAGGAGTTCAATATCCGTGCTTGCCTAAAACTTTACGCTTCTCGGCCAGAAATGATCCGGGAGATCAGTATTTGGCCTAGTAAGGAATGATTATTGAGTCGAGATTGAAGCTGAAGATCAGAAAGTTGATTCAGCTCAGACCTTATTCCATAAATTCAAGTATCGTTATCCCTGGCCAAGTTATATCGATCTATCGCGAGTGTAGGCTTAATCGCAGGTCGCATCCAAACTGCGAAGGCGGTAAAACCAGACTCGTACGATTGTGTCCCATACCCAGTCTAGCCTAAGCCTATTCTGGTATGAAAGCCCTCGAACGTCGAAAGAGAGCGAGAAGCAAAATGGAACAGGCCTAGACCATACGGGATGATAGCTGGGTACCGAATGTTAACGTTTGTACTGGCGTTAACACCGACGTTTGTGGCAGGAAAGGCCACTCAGCAATAACAGAATACACCAACACAGAGCACTAACGCCTCATTTGAACTTCCTCAATTGGCGAAAAGCACTTTAAATAAACTACTTTGATTTCGCGTTGAGTCCAAACTCAAACTGTTCTACAAGGATCATCTCCTTCCCATATTGCAGACCCCCATTAAGAAATTAATTTGCAAGTAAACTGATCCTGTGTACGCCATTCAACTTAACATACGCAGGACATATTTTAATGTGCAGTTGTAAAATGAATGTGCAGTTCTGAATTGGAATAAGAGCAGTTCAAAACTGGGTAAGAATTACATCTGGTAACAAAATTTTGACTCGAAAATGGTGCTAAATCGAATTTTTCTTGCCAAACTTTCGACCCCCGGGCCGGAGGGGGGGGGGGGGGGGGGGCACGAACGTCCCCCCACCCCCACCATTCCAACATTANGGGGGGGGGGGGGGGGGGGGGGGGGGGGGCGCACAGCGTCCTGCCAACCACTTCCACAGAGGGGTTATAATCATTTACGCAGTTCTGATTATTTCTTACAATATGCTCTGAACATACCAGTAAGATAATAATAAATACATAAAAAGCATAAAATGGGGCTTGAGGCCCGATTCGATGCGGAATTTCTCGGTCCGAACAGGCCCGAATCGGGTTCAGGTAGAATATAATCAATCGCCCTGACCAGCAGCCAGTGCTGTCTTTATCTCAGATGTCCGGCATGGTGAATAGGGTTCAGAGGCTCCTGATCGGTTCATTGGATTTGTCATTGGTTTGATGTCTCTCAGATGACAGGAAAGTCGGTCTAGGTCTAGGAGACTCGTTTTCACGTCATTGTGTCCCGAAAGACGTCTTTCAAAATCCGAATCAGCAGAATATCACCTGGGAAAGAGAAATTTTCATTTGCTCCTCAATGCACCCTAAGAGCCTGCTTTATACAATTTGAGGCTGCCTCTATTCATGATCGTTTCATCTTTGGCGCAAGTGGACTCAAAGTACTTTCCCTGTCACTTTGTGGCTCTCACGTCGTGATATCACTGCGATTACGGCGTCTTTCCCCGTGGTATCAAGGGAGCAGCAAGAATTGAAGCTGAACCATAGTTCAGCTTCAATTTAAATAGGCTTTCACTCCGAGACACATATCCTGGAGGGAATAAGGGGAGTTGAGGGATAGTACAGTCACCTAAAAATAGACCCAGAGAGAACGGAGTCCCCCGCGGCCGAACTGTGAAGCATGCATGGAGACTGACCGAATGATGGTTCTCATACAGTAAAAAGGAAGTTATTTTCAAAGTTATTTCCGAAAATTTTCAAAATTTGTCAGAATAATTTCCTAAAACTGTGAAAAGTTTTTTTTTTTGAATTTACTAATTGCACACTGCATAAATGTAACTCTCTACTTTTTGAAAACTGTATCGGGTTCATTTCTTCTTTACTTTTCTGTCTTCCGGACAAAGAAGTCACGAACTCCGCCGCTGCATGTGCATCATCCTCAGACGACACCACGACGGCCTTGAGAGCGCTAAAGAAGCATGGACTCGGCGCGACTTAGTGCGACGGGCCGAGCTCGTCTCCCACGTATTTTGCGCTTCCGCATTACACGTATGCTCGAGGATGACATCAGCGTTGCTTTTTTCAAAACGAGGTAGGAAGCACAGGGATTAAAAAAAAAAGGCAACATTAAAACTAATTTGTGATGACGTCACTTATCTCACTGTACCTTTCAAGGAGACGAAAGAGGCGAAAGACAATTGACATGCGTGAGATCTTCCTGCTGCCTCTCTGGAAAGGCCAATCAATGCGGTAAAGGGAGCAGAGTGAAGAATGAAAAATTGAACCAGGGCTATTTTAATCTGGGCTATCCCCATGTATTTTCTATGGGTTTGATCCCAGGTTGAAGGAGCGTCAATTTAGCCCCAAAATCATGAACCGACTCAGGGTGTTACAAAGAGACCAGAGGGAAGAGCGCGTGCTCAGCAGGGCTTCAAGGGATCCCTCCCGTTCTTCGTGAAATTTGAGGATGTGCTGTTATTTAGGACAAAACGAGTCTGTCCCGCAAAGAGGGAGGAGGCGAATTCCCTCCCGGCAGAATCACGAACACGAAGAGTGACAGGAAAAGCTTGAGGGCAAAGTGAAGCCATTGTACAGATTGTTCACAATCTTGGTACCTCGTCACGACTCTGCTCCCTCAAAGTGACAAATTTCATTCCTTTCTGAGCAAGTTAAATAACATTTCAGAAGCAGTGAGGATCCTTTTCAATTGGCGGGTCAGCAGGATCACTTTCGACCCTTCAACCTTCTTCGGTAGTCGGCTTCGGTAGTCTTCTTAGATAGTTTTAGAAATTCATGGGGTCATATGAACAAACAAAAATTGCGTTGCCATTCGGACTCATGCATGTGACCTTCAACCGCCGCCTGTCCATCCACACTGCTGCAAAAAAAACGCAGCTTTTGTTTGCAATTCATATAAGCTTCCGAATGCCTGAAACTGTTGAAGATATTTGAAATGAAAGTACAAAATGTTAAAGCTTATTCATTCCTCTTTCAAATGCAGCAAACCGCATTAAAATATAAGCGGTGAGTGCAGTGTAGTGTATCGTTGAAAACTCAGGTTTTTTTTCCTACTCTGTATGGACATGTTTCCATTCGTCACTTGTCCGGTCGCCGTAGCATGAGGCGAAGGTCACATGGGAGGATAGGGTGTTTATACGTTCCCAAGTTTGCATGCCTCATTCCAGTCATATCATTCGCAATGGTCAGAGGTGCGAGCAAGATTTAAAATACTAGAACTCTTACGCCTACGACTCACGAGAAGAGACTCCCTGCTGAACACTGATTAAACCATGACTGAAATAGCGATTTCAAGATCTCAGTTTTAGCTCAGTCCAATCATTGTTTCATTCGACTGGAGCTTCGAAGCAGCTGGAACAGTGGAACGACTGCAGTTGAATCTCAGCTGAACTGCTGTTGAACACTAAGTTGAAATCAACCTGTGGCTTGATTCGATTGTATATTTCTTCCCTTGGAGAAGAAAAGATACAATCTTCAAGAAGATAAGTTTCAGGGGTCTCCAGTTTATCGCGTATTCTTGAATGCATGGAATGAACACTGGTCAAACGTTCTCGTGAAACGTACATCGTACATGTATGATACATGCTGCATGGATGGAACGCATCGCAAACAATAGAGCGCAGCACACCGATGAGCCATGCATCAACTTGTTCAACTCGTGTTTCCGCAATG